TATAAACTGTAAGGGAATGATAATAACAAAATTGGTTTAGTATACTAACCCTAAATCAAGTTCATAATTAAAAACAAACTAAGTAATAACCAAGGTCATCAACAACCCTAAACTTAAAATTTCATAATAAAATTCAATATAGCAACATTAGGCATACCTGATAGTTGCTACAATCAAAGAATCTCCTTTTAGGATTCTCATTACTTTTTAAGATAACTAAAGGAGCTTTTTTTCTACAATAACAATATATCATATCACCTTCATAATCATAAGTGAACACTGCCTTTCTTTTACAATATAAACATAATTTTAAATTAGTTAAGAGTATAACAACTTTGCTGTAATCATCTAAGACCAATCTTAATGTACATTTTACACTATACTTGTTCATGGTTTTCTGCAAACTTAATTCACAAAACAAAATCCTCAATCCTAAATGTTAACTTAAATAAATTATTTAATTTCTTCAATCAAACCCATTAACAACTAATATACTCTCTTTCGATAAGCATAAAAATAACAAAAGTAATAGATCTGACAAAAATTTAATCAAATTTTTACCCAATGTCTCTGAACACCAAACAAGTCAGGGCTTTCTTTAAAATCACAAAAGTCGAATACCAAACAAAAATTTAGACAAAAACAACGAAGCTAATTCAAAATTGCAAAAATCAAACACCAAACAAATCAGGGCCTTTTTCGTGAATATCGCAATTCAAATATCATTCATTTAGCTCTTTATCGAACTTGTATAGGATTCTGATTTCGATTGGGGAAATAAGGAATTGAAAGGGTTTGGGGAAACAATGGATTGATTTAGTTTAAGTTTTTTCTTAAACAAGGGTAAGAGGAAATTGATAAGTTTTCCTTTCGTTTAAGTTTTTTTTTTTTTTTAATTAGATTTAGTTTAATTGATTTTTTTTAATTTCATTAATACACGTGAACATATATACGTGGATAAATAAAACCCACGTAAGCTAAAAGATCTTATCAGAACCGTTTATTGCAACATGTTATTATAGTCAACATTACGTTAACATAATCAATAGTCAAGTCAATAAATTTAATGGAGGTCTAATAATAGTGTCATCAATTGAACAAACCTTATTAAATTGAATTAGTACGAAGACTTGATTTCTTCGAATTATTTAATAAGGCCTAAAATTCAAATTTCACATAAGTATAAGAACTGACCTCACAATTTGACCAGCTTAATATATGCATTCGAGCATTTAATTTAATGATAAATGTATGTATTGTGAATCCTAACTTAATATATGCATTCAAACATTTTATTTAGTGATCAATGTATGTGTTTGGTTTCTCAAAAGAGCACAAATATTGTTGATTGTGATCTTTTATATAAAAAAGTAGCCTAACCATCAAAAGTAGAGTGCATCAGGTGCAGCCTCTGCCTACCAAGCTTCTTGAGATCATTAATGGTTGGACCACGAGAAAGTCATACCAAAGGAACGAAAAGGATAAACTACTAGAAAATCAGCTAGGAGAAGTCTCACATAGTAGATTTGGAATGTGGAATTTATTAAGTATATATATATTTCTGTAAGAACATGAAGCTCTGAAGTTTATGCTCTTTTCATCATCCAGTCCCTGGACAATTTGACATAATCTACTCTGAACTCAGAACATAATGCTTAGCTTCAGATGTATCCTTACTATTTTTTTGTTAAGCATCAAGGAGTTCCTCGGCTTGGCCCAGTCCATACCCTCCCTGGCTCAGTCCAAACAGGCTTGTCTACACCAGACCTAGTGAATTCATGAGAAATTAACTTGCCACAGCCTCCCAGCGGATTTGAACCCAAACAACAAACGCAAGAAATGAACTCTCTGGATTAACAAGTACAATTGAAAATAACTTGCATATTTAGTCTACACATTGGTTTGCCATACAATATGATCATAGATCAAATAAATATTTACTGCTAGCAAAAAGAATCAACTTACAGATCGACAACCTTTAAAGATGTTTAAGTAACGGGAGAATAAAGATGGAAGAAGACAGAGAAACATCTAGATTTCCAGAAGCCACATTTAATTTTGAAAGTTATGAGTTTTGGTTCTAAGAGGCAGCAACGGCAACTTCATTTTTCTCCTTTCCAGCCTCTTTCAATTTTTTCCAGTTTTCATCACTGTCAATGATTTCTCCAGTCTTTATAAGGTATCGGACCCTTTTCCCATCATCTAACACTTTATGACCCACCCAGCTCATGACATCTTGTTCTTTAGAATAGAGCATCACGTTTGAGCTGTGAATAGGCGCTTCAATCTGGAACACCACAATTAAAACACCTAAACAGGCAAATGAGATAAACACATATAAAGGTTGAGAATTAAAGGATATTTTCACTTATGTATTCTTGCACACCAAAAATATATGCAGCTTTCCAAGGCATGAACACTTTCCAAAATAAAGCACAAATAAAAGCATAAGAACTTTGTTTTTTTCTTTTTGAAAGTAAAATTGAACACTATAAATTACCTTAATTATTTGTCCTGGTTGAACCTCTTCTCTGCTCTTCATATATGCTTAGTCTTCAGGTTTATATCGTTCACTACAATGGTGCTGTTATGCTTAAAGATCTTGGTTATCTCTCCAATTTTGCCCTTATCACGGCCTGATATTACTTTAATGGAATCTCCAACCTTAACGTGCATTTTATGTAAAACCGGAACACTTTTCAGCTTACATTCCTTCCGTTCCCATCGTTGAAGCTGTAAGGTACAGGTAAAAAAAAAAAAAGAAATAGTTAATACCAAGGAAAAGTAAGCACGTCAGACATAGCAAACAAGTAATTTCAATTAGGCAATCTAAAATTCGTATGGAAGTCTATCCCTTCTATTCAGCAATGGAAGAAATCAAATATCTTCCCCCTGGAAAGTCCACTATGAAACAGTTATATTTTGGTTAAAATATGAAAAGAATTGCATGAAAAAATGGGAGCGGAATACCAACCTTCTCTCTTGGCTTGACCTGTATGCAATAAAAACAGTAAATCATTATCAAAATTTCCAGTAATCACTATTTCTTTATGGATGCGGCCAGTGAGTCAAATTGTAGTTTAAGAGAAATGACATGGCAATAGAGCTTAGCTGTCACAAATCAGAATCACAATCTCAATAAATGTTCTAAACTGAAAGCAAAGAACACAATGTTACCATACAAACTGTAAAGTAAACAAAGCACACTCCCATTTCATTTCTCTTGTTCATCTCTCATAGGCACAAATTCATGCACATTAAGACCAACAAGAAATCAAAAGTACAACCGATAATGGTCGTGAACTTATGACCTTCTTGACTATGACAACTTTCTAGCACAGAGATAACCAACGGAGATCTACTAAACCAGAACCAAATCTCTAAACAAAGGCCAAAACATTCATCAATGTTGCACAGCTCAACATATAGTACATAAACACTATTTTTGCTATGCACGAAGAGAATAAAAAGCAAATAATAGAAAATGATCTATCCATTCCCTCAGTTACAAATTGAGAAATTTATTACAGTGTGAACTTGCATTGAAAGAAAATAAGTTACCTAACAAACAATCAGTGGCAAGTTTGCCACTAATTGGATAAAGATAGTGACCAATTTCCCTTCTAAAGACTTAAAAGCATCATTCCAATGACTAAGCAAAGCATTTTGATGCTTAGTTATAAAATTTAATCTCTTTATTTGATAAGGAAAAGAAAAAACCTGCTTTATGCAACCCAATCTCATTCAAATTTACCAAATTACCAAACAAAAACAAACCAATTTCATTAAAAAAGAACCATTTGATTATCATCAGGGAAAAACTTCAATCAACACAGATAAGGTTGAATACTCTGTCAAAAGTTTGGTCCTTTCAACACCAAAAGAATTAAGGAAGTTGTTTAGTCTTAGCCAAAACAACTAAGGAAAAACTACAACAAGAGTGAAATTCATGAAATACCCATTTCCATATAACCACCAAAGAATTGAAAAATGAGGAAAATGTGTAAATTAGAGCCAAAAGATGAGGTTAAAAAGATTGATCGAATTGAAAGAAAAAAAAATAAAAAGAGGAAGAGAACGTACATGAAGATGGGAGAGAGCAGGAGGAATTGTGAGACGTTGGCCTAAGAAGGAGTTTGAAGAGAGAGAAAATAGCCATGGAGCTTTGCAACGCAGCCATGGCTGCCATTGTTTTCGCCTTCAGTCACGATGATAAATACCATATAATGGGTAAGGGAGGATAGATAGTGTTAAACACGACACCGTTTTAGGCTTGTACATTAATGCATTTTTCTTTTCTTTTTTCTTACTAAAAATTATTTTTAGGGATAATTTCAATTATAAAAAAAAAAAAATCTTTGCAGAGTTTTTTTTATTAATCTTTGTAGAACTTTATTATTTTTCCTTTTATAGTAATTTTTTATCAACACATTAAGTTTTTTCTTTAATGTATAAATTTTGTTTTCTCCATAATTTTTTTTTTATCGTTTTACACTTTTCATATTAATATATTCATAAACCTTCAATAAAATTCATTCTTAAAATCCATTTTTTATATTAACAATTTCATTATATCAACATCCGTAGATCCGAGTGATAAGAAACTCGATTCTCCTTAAGAAAAATTTCGATTTCAAATATTGTAAATGAAAAAAATAAACGATAAGAAAACTTATCTTTCTTTTAGAGTCTAATCCGACTTGACTTCAGAATAGTCGGAATTCAAAGTAATTTTTGAATATCGAAAAACCAAAAAGTAAAACTCAAAATTATAAAAAAAAAAAATTCAAAAATTTTAGTGTTTTGAATTACATTTGAACATTAGAATAAGTAATCAATACTTGATTTTCATATTTATCTGAATATTTAATTCAATAATTAATATATGATTTTCATAAAGAGAGACTATGGATTGAATATGTCTTGAACCATTAGAAGAGATTAAACCAAATTTGGAAAGAATCAAATGGGATTTTAATTTTCTTTTTTTTTTTGGAAATTATGTCGAAAACCAATTAGGGTTGGTGAAGTTTACAAGGTAGAAAAACATTTTTGGAAAGACATCATCTATGCTTTCATTCATTTTCATTTCTAAACTATTAATATACAAAATTAGATTAGCAAAACAAAGGAGAAAAAAAAATGATAAAAAGAGGAAAACCCTAACTATGTTACACCAAATTACACACAATCCTTTTACCCTAACCCACTCAAAAAAGAACTCAAATGCTACAACCAAACCTGCTTTTGCTTTAGCTCCTTTACATCCCCAAGTATGTCACAAACAAAGCCCAAACCAAGAAAATTTAACAAATGGAAGAACCACTGACTACATTTCAAAAGTGTCAGCTGTGCTATCCATGGACTCGTCTCTTTGGTGTTCGGTTACCAGAATCCTAGTTTCTCCTTGCTCTAAGTCAGCTGTAACCTCATCCACGGTAGCAGATGGGGACTTCTGATGCTTCTTGCTGTGTCTCGTTTTAAGGATTCGTGTTAGCACTTGCACGATGTCCCTCATGGAAGGCCGTTTCTTGGGAACACGGTTAACACATTTATACGCAAGAGCTGCTATTTCATTGAGCTCTTGCACGTCAAATTTCCCGTCCAATCGTGAATCCACGATTTCCTCCCACCCAACTTTTCCTTCAGTACTAATAGCTGCCTGTTTGTCATATCACTATCATATTCAGAACTACAAGGGTATAAGCCTAAACTTTTAAGAAAGTGAAAGAGAGATCTTACTAGCTCAACATATTCCATGAGACCCTGTAAAGGATTTCTGCCAGCTATGAGTTCAAAGAGCAATACCCCGAAACTGTAAACATCGGTTTTCTTAGTAAAGGTCCTTGTAGATATATACTCAGGATCGAGATATCCAAACGTTCCTCGTATGTTAGCCTTGTGTTTGTCTACCATCTCTTCTCTTGAAAGCCCAAAATCAGCCACCTGCTTGAGATGGCAGTCCCATAAGATTAAGCCATGTATTCGCACATAAATATACCAATCTCTCAGAAATTAAGAGTTACTTATAAAATCTAGAACAAAAGGCCCATTCAACCAAGGACAACATTAAAAGGTTTACCAAACTAAAGCCAAGATAGAATCTTAACGGAATTTCATGCTTCTCCTGTAGCAATATATAATTATCAATCAGCAACATACCCTGGCTCTCATGGACTCATCCAACAGAATATTGGATGACTTAATGTCCCGGTGTATTACGGGAGGAACTGCCTGGAAAAGAAATGTGAATAAATTAACAAATTTTGACCATAAGCATAAAATGCATGCACATGAATCTGCAGATACATGCCTCCAAACATAGACGTGTCCATGTATAGTCCAAATAAGAAATATTACCCCGTCATGAAGATATTCCAAGCCCCTTGCTACATCTAAAGCAATATAAACCCTCAAATTCCAGCTCAGAGGTTCATGATTTTCACCTGCACAAAGATGAAATGCAGCTTTCATTTTCCCTAGAAACTATTGTATATGAATTAAATTTTCAAAGATCAGGCAACTACAAGTTTGTCCAAAATCATAATTTCTTGATGCTTTATATTGCAAAGCTAATTGTAATCCAATTCATACTTGTATTTCAATGTGCCAGCTTATTATAGATTCAACAGGCAGAACAGCCTAAAAAATAGGGTAGTGTCAGAAAAAATTGAATGCCAAAGATCCAAACAAGCTTTGTTTTACAAAAAATAAAAAAGTTAACATAGAGAAGTGTAAGACCAGCTGATATACAAGTCCATAGTACAACACTTTGGTTTCGGTCATTCAGAAAAATATATGGATCTTTCTATCTAGATAGTTGAAGCCTACTTACTGTACAAATGAGAAGCCAAGCTGCCTTTACTCATGTACACATAGACAAGGATATGCTGACCCTTTTCTGCACAATATCCAACCAAATTTACAAGGTTTCTGTGATGCAGCCTTCCCAATAACATAACCTGAAATGTTAAGAGGGTGAAACATTAAACAAGATGCAGACTGCAGGAAGGAACAAAAAGAAAAAGTACACATACACAGAGAAATGCAATCAGCAAAGGCATGTTAAAAGGGGCAAATAATAAGTTGGGTGAAAGATTGTGCATGACTTTGATTCCCTAATCAAGTTTTTCTCTGAATTTCATGTAGTCAAATGCTTTTGATGGGAATCTTTTTTAGTCAATATGATGTTCCAAGCGTTCATTGCTTTGTTACCTCATTCACTTAAAAGAAAAAACTTGGAAGCTGTATCTCTTATCATTCACTAATCTACTTCTACTTTAAGTTTTTGCTTATAGAAAGAGTGGAAATCGATATTAGTCTGATATTCTTCCTTGGATGCCAAGTTGTGTTTCTCTCTTAAGAAACTAGAAAAGCATGCCGAGTGATGGTGACAAGAAAAGGATTCTAAAGTGGCAGCATCTTGTAAAAATCAAGAATAATACTATTGTACAAATGCTTATGCAAATTTTAATACAGAATAGATAAATCTTGCCATTAAATATGCTGATAGTTGTGAAATATTAACTATTAACCATCCCTACCTCTGTCTGGAACTCTTTCTCCCCTTGCTTAGAATCAGTGGCGAGCACTTTTACAGCAACTGTTTCACCAGTTGACATTTGAGCTTTATAAACCGGACCAAAGGCTCCTTGTCCTATTAGTGTTGTAAAATTATAGGTTGCTTTTTGCAAATCCCTGTATAAGCAATGCCATCAGCGAATTAGCAAAGAAAAATAAAGGAAAAGCTGATGAAAAATACACATATTCAAGCCACAAGCCACCCACCTATACTACTAGTTCGCTATAACATCAAAGAAAGTATTAAGGGCTTACGTTCTAGCCATTGGCTTGATTTTAGAGATATTGATTGCCTGATTTTAAAAACGTATTGAACTACAAGAATCCAGTTAGTTTCTCATCAAGAATGGCCAGTTTTACCGAAAAACAAACAACTTCAAAGATTCCAAAATTGGGAAACCTTGAAAAGTTCATATCATGCTATCTACCTTGGGACACAAATACAAGACATGATACAATCAAGCAAAGTTGATTCAAGAGTGGACCACAAAAATAATTTCCCATAGCCATTAAATCATTAATCATATCACATGGATAACAATACAAACCAGTCACTAACACATCTTCATAGAATCATAATCACATATAAAACTAAAGAAAAATATCTGTTAAAATCAATACCACTCAAAATCAACTACTATGATGCATAAGTGCAACTAGTTTCAAAAGAAACATACTTGTATGGATACTCGGGTATTCCAGATGCAGAGACAACATTACTCCTTCTAAACCCTTCAAGCCACATAGGCATTCTATTTCTTCCAGATTTCACAGGTGACTCAGGACCAATAGTCGAATCCGATAATATAGTACAAGAATCAGCTCCATTAGCCCTGATAGGAATAGTTGCAGCCCTCCTGGAACTGCTGTTTCCTATCTGGGATCTCCTTCTATGATACCTGATACAAAACAGTGCAAAAATAGCTAAAAGCACACCGATCACTAACCCTATAGAGATCCCAATGATCAAACCAGATGACTCCCCCCTCATCTCCACTCCTTCTTTTGCTATTTGCTATTCAAGCCTCCAGTCCATTGAAACAACAGCAAATACAACCCTGCAGTCCAATTAAGCCAATTATAAGCCATCTCAAATTGACAATAAGAAAAGAAAAGTAAAAAACTGTAGCACAATTCAAAGTCAAACAATACTAATCTTATCAAAACTATAAGGTCAAGTTTAGAACCTTCATATGACATTTTTCATAGCAAATGAAATAAAAGTCAAAATTAAGATACATGACAAAACGAACAAATCTTTACCTTCTATCTGAATAGTCTTATGCTAAAAACTGCTCGAATTCACTTAACTGTAAAAAGAAACAGATTGAAAAGACCCCCAGGAACAAAATTCAATAAAAGAGAAAAACAATGAGACTAAAGCTTGTGCAGAAAATATACTTGATCTGATTAGTATTATTCAGAAACTTATTAATTATACATTTATGAACCAAAAACTGAAACTTTCAGCTGATTATAGATTAAAGAACAGGAATTATAATACTGATCTGTTTCGTTACTAAGAAAAGAAAGACTTTCTGAACTCCAAAAGAGTTTCAAGAAAGCAAAGAGGTTTAGAGTAAAACAAACAGAGTACAGAGCAAGAAAAAAAAAAGACCCAGAAAACTTTTAAGCCATGAAAACATGAAAACAAGGCCAGATATGAAAAACACAAAAATTTTTTTCTAATGAAAAAGTGAAATGAAATGCATTGATGAAGAAACAAACCAAAAACATTAACTTTCAAGACTAACTTTTTTAATAAACAAGTAAAAGAAACATACATTTCTTCAGTTACATGCTTTCTTTGGAGCAAGGAATAAAAGAGAAAACAGCAATGAAAATGTTGAGCAGCAAATTCTTTGAGTGGGATTTTAAAGGAAGAATCTGAGGGTTGAGGACTGCGGAGAGAGGTTTTTGAAAGTTGAAAAAAAAAAAATTATTGTTGGAGTTTTACAGAGAACTTTTTATTGGGATATTACTTCTTTTGACCCTTGAACAGTTATGATTTTTCTAATGTGGTATCTAAGTTAAAAAAACTTATAATCAAGTACCTAAACTTTAATTCCTGGTATGAAATTACCCAAATCTCTTAACACTATTAGATTAAGGACGACTTAACGCTTTAATACTGATATGGATGATATGCTATTATCGTGTGGTAGTGATTTGATTATCACGGATATTTTTTAAAATTAAAAAAATTATAATTTTTTTTTAAATTTATATCTAAATATAATTTTTATTTTTAAAAATATAATCGACAATCATATTTAAATTATAAGGTAACTATGTGTTATATATATGTTAATATTTAAATGTTACATTAATTTTATTTTAATGATGATAAAAATTGAGATAACTTAATACACAACACTGTAATTTAAATATCAAATTAAAAAATATTTTTATTCAAGTATGACACTAAAAAAATGCAATAATTTAACAGCGAAATGAGATGTTATCACTTCTTTATTTTATTAAAAAAGAAAATACGTGAGTCGCCGTTTGTATAGTAAACGCGGGATGGAGTGAAAGAGTAATATTTATTAGTTGCCAAACATGGCCTTGTTTGGATTATCATTTTGGGCTAACATGGCATTCTTAATTGAATTTGACCTTTTTTTTGGAAATAAAATGATTATTTTATTTTATACAATTAAACTCCATCTCTAAATTTTTTTTGTTTCCAAATATAAAATGGTAAAATAGTAACTTATTAGTAAATTTTGTCTCTAAAAGTAGAAAAAAAAAGTGTTAATATAATATAGTATTGATTACAAGTTATGTATATAATTTTTTATATTTATTATTTTTTCTTAAAATTAGTGAAAATAATATATTAAATAAAATTACTAAAATAATTTTAAATTTGAATCTCCACTTTTTAACTTTTAAAAAATTATAAATATTAATAATTTTCAATCATCAAAATATGATTTTTTTTTTTAATCATTTGAGCGATAATTAGGGTTCGGATTTGAAACTTTTAATTTTAGAGTCGATTGTAATATCATTAAGTTAATAACTTATTAGTATAAGTTTTGCATGTACTCATTCATAATTCCTAAATGCATCAAATACTCATCAATCTCAATCACAAAGACATTAATGAATTTTATAAGTTTTCAAATGAATTATAAGTTTTAAAAACTGTGATAGATTATGACATATACCTGTCTATGTATCCATTAATTTTTTTGTCATTATGATGTTACACAAATAAAAATATAAATAAAACTTAGTTTGATACTTATTAATTAGTTAAATAAATTAGCAAATGCTTTTAAGTTATTTCCTTAAATTTCTTACAATTTATAAGTGAAAAAGCAATAAATTGGTGATAAAAGAATCTATTATACTATATTTAATATTGTAATTGCAAGTGTAATATTTTAGTTTTATTATATTTTTAATTAATTTTTACTTATATACACATAATTACTTGTTAGAACACATGTCTTCTTTTAAATTTGTTTTTATAGATTGATAGTGAAAATTTTTTAATTTCATAAGTGAAATTAAAAATTTATTACATGTTTCATTTTTTTATTTTTTTTACTATACCGTAAAATCATGCTATCCTGCTAATTAAAGCAGTGGAGTTTCTGTCAATAAATATGATAATTTTTCTATTATATTCTAATATTAATAAAAAAAAAGAAAAGAAAAGCAAGGAATACCCTTAAAAGTTAAGGCATATGGGTGAGTTGGTCCAAAATAATATAAGGCACACTGGCTTTTAGTTTTAGGTGTGACCTTACCATTCTACGACCTAAGGGTGGAATTGAAGTTTGGTACCTCAACACTTTTCATTAGGCAACCCAAATTTTGAAATCACCTTTGATTTTGGCTAATTTCCAATTTAAATGCACCCAATGGAGCCTTATTTACCTTTTACCTTATCCATTTAAAGTGTAAACTAGAAAAAATATATATATATATATATATATTTCGTCATTCAAGGGAAGCATAGTTCTACATTAAGGGGGAAGAAAAAAGTTGTGATTCGAATCTCAATTTTAACAATCTTTTTAAGGTTATTTTGACCATTAAGTCAAGCAGTTAAAGACAATATATATATATATATATAAACTTTAATAAATGTTGAAAAATATATTATTTCATATTTAATGATCGGTTAAAGTGACAAAAAGAGTGTGCTCTCTATTTATTATTTGTGTTTAAATCTTTTGGAAAGCTATGAAAAGATCATTCTTTTTATAAATTCATTAAGTTTGATATTAAAATTTTTGTTTGAATCAATCTCGAAAAAATTATATTGAATAGAATTCAAGAATCCCTTACTGCTAAATAAAAAAAATATATATATAAATTATTTTTCATAAATCGAACAAAACGCAAGAACCTCCTTACTGTTTAAAAAAAAAAAATAAAGATTGATATACACTCAAAATTCTCACATTTGTTCCACTTGAGTTCCTAAACTAAAACTTATGTCGTAAGACTATATAATCCTTTAGAAGATTTGCTTTAATTTGGGAATACTCCTGACCATATTATTAAAAAAAAATTAATTATGCTTTAATTATATAATTTTTTTAATTTGAGAAAAAAAATCAAATTTAATTTTTGAGTGAAGAATATATACATATATATATAATATTTATCATTGATTAAAATGTTCAGCTGCTCAACTATATGAATGCTTGATTTATAAAACATTTGTTTTTTGTTATTTTACGTAAAATAAATGATATTTAAGTATAATAAATTGCTTTGTGGTCAAGAATCTAAGGATGCATAACTAGAAAGGAAGAGGAACTTGTTTATTTAGTTTCTCCAAACCTTTGAAAAAGTTTGATGAAATTAGTTTCACTAAACCTACTAGAGTTTACATTTAGCCAAAAAGAAAATGAAGTGATTTGTTGATCTTTTGAGAGAGCTCCTCATGTATGTAGGAGAAAGTGGGCAACTGTCATCCTAACACACCTAATATGAATGGAAAGGTTAAAAATCCCCAAATATATATTGAGTTCGTTTTTAATATTAAGTAAAATTTTTTAACTCTACATGTAAAATTATGAGACTGTTACATATTTTGTTTTATAATTATTTTTATTTATTTTATTATATTTTTAAACAATCGTGTTACTTTATTAACTCTAATAATTTCTTAATATAAGTTTGTATTTGATGATGAAAATTTTTTTTAGTAACATATAAGTGAACCCCATATCTTACCTTTGATGAAAAAGGCCTTAATCATAGTTATTAAAAATCAAAGATTATGACATTTGGGTTTAAATTCAAAGATAATAATAACAAATAATGTCTTATAAACTTATTAGTCTTCAACTACACCACCTTCATTCATTCATCCCTAGACCTAGCTAGATATACAAGTCAAAATCTAAATCAAGAAATTCCTCTCCCAAATAATTCCATTATTGTTCAAAATAAATTTTCTACCAAATTTTTACAACATAATTATATATATATATATATGTTGTGGTTATATTTTGACACTTTATTAAAAGGAAAAAATGGGTTTGAGAAGCAATATTGCTTAAAGAAAAAAAATATTTAGTGGTGATTGTCACTATAGATTTAATTTAATAATGAAAAAAAAATTGATATTCAATGAAATACACGTGCAAAGTTTAATTTGAGCCAAAATCAAATCAAAGGGACATCACTTAAGTAAATTTTTTTATAATATTATTATTTAGACCCTTAATTAATATTTATAAAATGCTAAAGTTAATTTTTTTTTTTTTTAATAATTGGAAGATTGAAATTTTGGGAAAAGTTTTTTGAAATAAGAAAATCTTTGGATCAATGTACTTCACCAACTCCAACAGGATTAAAGCACATTGATTGTTACAAAGAAACGGTCAAATGAAAGTTCCCAACCTTGTTTTCATACATGAACTTATATTGAATTTTATAACAAAAATGTTATAATCTTTATGTTATAACATGTGAAAATTTTAATTTTAATTATCAAAATTTAAATTTTAATAATTTTAAGTATAAAAAAAATAAAAACGACTCTCAACATTAATTGAATATCATCGTTTATCTGATAAAATACACATGCAAAGTTTATTTGAAGTCAAAATCAAACCAAACGGTCACCACCAAGTAAAATTTTTTAAGATAATATTATTATTTAGAACATTAATTGATATTTATAAAGTGATAATAAAATTTGGCTAATGGTTAATTAAGTCAAAGTTTTCCCGTCTTTAATTTAATGATTAAAGGTGTTTGAAAGAATATTAAAGATTTAATTTCGAATTAAATTTTTTTTTATTTATACTAAAATTTTGTCTCTTTAGATAACAAAAAGAGATAATAAAGTTTAAAAAAATTTATTATTATTTTGATAGTAGTTAGTGTTAAATATTGGAAAAAAGTTTTTGAAAGAAGAAAATCTTTGGATCATATACTTTACTTTACCAGCTCCAACAAGATTAAAGCACATTGTTTTTGTTTTTTTTGGAATAAATGATTAAAGCACATTGGTTATTACGAAGCAACGGTCAAATGAATCAAGACAAATCTTAAAAAGCTGCTTTAAACCTTAGTATTTGTCTCCTCCTTCCACTGGAAACTCCAAAAAGAAAATTTTAACTTGGACCATCGTTTTGTCTTACGAATCATTAATATTATTTATTCTTTTAATTTT